GACCATGGAGCCTTCAGCTAGAGAGTAAAACAGAAGCAAACTTCTCGGTAGTATCATTGGTCTCACATTTTGATCAGCACGGTGAAAGACCTCTCCTCTGGGCACAACCAGCAGGAAATCATCCAGTTTAAGCCAAGAACTAACAGTGATAATCCAGTTCTTAACAATGAGTTCCACAGCTTGCTCAGTAAGTCCTATCAACCATTTGGGGGATGCCAACAGTAGTCTTATATAAACAAAGCGTGCACGAAAAGAAACCTTTTCTTCCATGACCCTGCGTTTTGTTCAAGTTACAAGAAATTAAAACTGATACAAGGTAAGGTTCAAAGGGGAAGCAAATGCAGAAAGCTTACCATAACTCAAGAGGGAAAAATGATGGGCTGATAAGTGTAATTGCCCTAATTGGTAAGTGAAACATAATCACCAACAATACCCCATGAGAAGCAAGCGCCAAGACAGTGTAACCAAAGTTCATTTTTGTGATCTCGTAGTCAGGATCTGTGACATCTAAGAGATACCAAAAGGCTCGTTTATGAATGATCTGCCAAAAGAAGAAGAAAAAAAATGAGGAGAAAAAAGAGAACAGATAACAAACAAAATCTAAACCTATTACCTTTTGGATACGTTCCATGAAAAACTCAGCAAGCAACAAGCAAACGGCTCCAGAACACCAACGTAGGGTCGTCATGCATGGTAACTCTGAAAGAGTCTCAAACCTCTGGAAAAAACTGGTTCCAAATAGAGGGGAGGTGCAGATTTCGAGCCAATAGCCAATTATCCAAGGCAAAACACCAATCTTAAAACATAAGACGAAAGTATCCCTGATGAGAATCCACAAGAGAGGTGGCAATATCACTGCTATGTAGTGAAATCCCAAAGAAACCCACTGGACTATGGCTGGAAATGAGGTTTGACTTTGAAGGGTTTTGCAGGATTTTACTGAGAAAACCCACAAAAGACATGGCAGTTTCAGTGCTATGAAGTGAACTCCCAGATAAAACCACCGGACTATGGCTGGAAATGGGATTAGAGGGAGAGTGAAGTAAGCAAAGCAAGTTGACAGCATCGTCATGTATCCGAGCACAACAGGCGAGTTTCCAGACACAAAGCTGCCTCCAACAGTTGCTAATACAACCCATCCAATCCAAACTGGCAGAAGAGCAAAGAGGGTAGACACATACACGCTGATAGCAAGAAGCTGTAAAGAGCAAAACACAGCTTGTTACTCAGAAAGAAGAAAGACAGTAGATAGATGAGGGGGAGACTTACAGCAAAGGCATCATCATCTAGAAAGAAAAGCAGCTGCCGGATAACCCCAAAATCATGAATTTGCGCGTTTTGAGGAAGCACAATAGGTGGACGAGGTAGGCCTGAGATGTCTGTGAGCTTAAGAAAGTACCAAACACAAAGAATCGTCATATGCTTCCATAAAACCTGCACGACTCGGCCAAATCTCCTGACATCGACATCTCCTATTTCTGTCCTCGTCACAGTGATCAGATTCATGAAAGACACGACAAGACAGTTGTATAACAGGCCAGGGCGCAAATAAGCGAGCTTCCGAAACATCCAAGAATCACTACAGCGCTGGAGATCACCAGCAGCAAATTCTTGGGCCCAAGGATGGAAAGAAACCAAGTATGTGTTGAAGAGAATCACAGCAATCCAAGGAACAATCAACTTCATGTAACGTGCTGCTCTTGATAAGACACCAATCAGAAACTCGTTACACGGAAGCCTCTCCGGAGCAGTCTCGGAGTAAACCGGAACAAACGAGTAGCTACGCCCACATACCTGCCAGAGAGAAAGAGTTTAGACATAGATAAAACGTTAAACCCTCCCCACAAAGCTTGAACCTTTTTCACATAAACAAAGAGCAAATCTACAAACCCTATCCTAAAACTAGCCAAGCAAGAACCTTTCTTAACCTAAAACCCTTAAACCCCCAAAATCTCATGGAAACAGAGAGAGTTTAGACATTATATAACAAACGTCAAACCCTAAACCCCAAAGCTCGAACCTTTTTAGCAACATTGCATAATACACACATTAACAAAGGCTAATGGAAAACCCTAACCCTAAAATCAAGAGAGCTTGAGTATCCTGAAAGAAAGAAAGAAGATAAAAAAAGTGCAAGGAATCACCTCGCATTGCTTGTATCCGCGACGATTGAGCCAAGTAAGAAGACAATCTTGGTGTACGTACTTGATTGAGCCTCGACACGAGCACGGATACCTTAACGGCTTTCCTGGCTCCTCCGGTGATCGACAAATCCGGCACACGTCTCCGTCTTCTTCTTCGGACGAGAAACTCTGATCGAAGCCTTCACCGAGCTGTGTCATCTCCGGCGAAACGTCCAATTTAGGAAGTGAAAACTCTTTCTCGTCTCTCTTTTTCTTTTGTTTCGTCACCTCTGTGCACTCCCTGGAGCGGCAAATGCATAGTGACCTTCTTAAAGCCAATTAAAATTTATAAAAAAATAATAATAATAATTATAATATATGATGCTTTTTTTTACAGCTACAGAGTCCGTACAGTCGTAAGAGTGTGACTTTCTACGTTTCTTCCGGTAAATTTTTACTAAAGTTAAATTAACACAGTGAAAATCATTTTCTTTTACTAATTTATGTGCTCGAACTTAAGTTTTAATATTGATGTTTTATAATAATCCAATAAAGCTGACTTGCGATTAAAAGTTGTTAAAAAAGAGCCCAAAATGCTGTTTTTTTAATCAGAATACTATTCTATTATTTATATTTAAGGTAATTAAAAAATTAGTAATTAATTTTAATGAGATATCTAACAATGTTTAGCTTAAAGGTGGACCGTAATGTTAGCAATCCAAATACATATAAAATAATGAATGGAATTTTTAGATGATCAGATTCATTTAGTTCCATGGAAAATAATGCCAGCTATCCAGATTTAATACACTACAACTTCAAACTAATACACGATTTGTAGCTATTCTTAAGACTTGGGATTTTATTGAAGAAAACAAATGTTTTTAAAAAATGCATGAAACGTTAGAACATCTCCTATAAAAATCCTCATTTTAAGAGGATAACAACCTTATACGAAGTGTTATTTCAAAGGTGACCTTCGATTTTACCTTTTAAAAATTTGTATTGTAGTCATTGATATTATTGGTCAACTAACTATAATTATTAAGCTTTCATAAATAAATAGAAAATACTATTTATCTGACATTAAAATGAACTATAATAATTGTGAAGATAAGAACTTGATGAGCAAGTTTTAGCAATATTTAAATGCTAACCTAAGAAGAACTCAAGTTAAGGTAAGATTTACTTGGGGTTGAGTTTGTAGACTTTTGGACCACAAAGAAAAGCTTTGCTATTGGTGTATAGTACTGAGCACAAAGTAGAGTTTGTTTCTAGCCGTTTGGCCTTATTGCCTAATAATATATCACATGATCAAACTCATACACATATACATTAGTTTTTTTTTAACTGATTTTACACATATACATTAGTTACTATCATACTATCATGTTCATGTTAATTAATATGATTTATAATTAATATGATTTATGTACGTTATAATATAAACGCTATTACCTTTTCATATAACTCGGATTGCTTCCTAAGTAGAGCGTTATTCCTCTTTATTAGTGCAAGTACTTTTTCACTTTGCTTTTGATTCTCCGCTTGTAATTTCGCCAACTAAAATAAAATCAAATCTAGTTGCGTAAAATCACTAAAATCAAATTCACAAATTAGTATAAGCTAATGATTTACTGAACCTAGTTAATTACCGTACATATATTTCGTCGTTAATCGCAAGTGAGGCTTGATTCTGCCACGTTAGTTTAAGCATTTCTTCTTTAAGCTTTTGATTCTCCAATGTCACTTTTTTTAAATACGCCATCTGAAAAAAACAACAAATTTTGAAATAGTTACGATAGCAAAATCAAAATTCACTATCACTAAGTTCGATTACCTTCTTCACACGGTTTTCCATCTCAGAGTTGTTACGTTGATCATTGTTTTTTTATGTAATTAGGTTTAGTTATCATGAAAAACGGACTTATACTATATATACGATAGATCCTATTCATCCATATATATTTAGTGATATATTCCCAACTGATTTTAATATTATCTGTTAAGTAAAATCTAAAAATGCAAGAATAAAACAAAGAAGATAATTACGAATAATTTGTCATTCTCTAACAATATGTGGGCTTAGGAATGTGATCATGGCAACTGTGAACTCCTTTCTACCGCCCAAAAGCAAAGTGAAGAAGTACTTGCACTAATAAAGAGGAATAACGCTCTACTTAGGAAGCAATCCTAGTTATATGAAAAGGTAATAGCGTTTATATTATAACGTACATAAATCATATTAATTAACATGAACATGATAGTATGATAGTAACTAATGTATATGTGTAAAATCAGTTAAAAAAAACTAATGTATATGTGTATGAGTTTGATCATGTGATATATTATCATAATTGTAAGGGAGGATGCTTTTGGCGTTTTGTAGCTGCACAAGAACCAAGGCTGCTTCATCAATAAATAGAAGCATTGGCTGAGAGAGAGAAAGTAGAGCTATGGTGTGAGAGCACACAAGAAGCACTGTAAAGGTGAAAGAAACAAGATGTAAATTAAAGCATAAGCCTTGGGTAGTTTCTAAGGGGTTTTACAGAGTGGTTTCCTTAGCTAGTGAAAAGTATTAGGAGAATCACTTGTAAACTCTTGTAATCCCTTTGTTCTAGTGGATTCCAAGCATAGTCTCGGCGAGATGTAGTGACCCTCATTAATGGGCGTGAACTCAGTTAAATGTTTGTGTGTTCTCCTTCTCTTCTCTTTCACTCTTATCCAAAGCTCTCATACAAAGATCTCTGTTTCATGTTCATCTCAACATAAATCTGTTCTGCATACTTATTGTTTCCTCGTTAGCTCCTAATCTTTTGAAACAACCAATTGTTATCTCCTGAGATAAAATCCATTTGCGGCAAAACCGATAACCCTATGCTTTGTGAATCTTCTATAAGTCCTTTGCTGACAACTTTGTTTAAACCAGAAGCTTCCTCCGTTCTTGTTCTCGCGATTCATGCCTCGATAACGGCTACCAAGGCGGTTATATCTACCGTCAACAGAGTAGCGGGCGCGGATTGTCAGGAGCTGTACGATACGGCTGTCTCGGATTTGGAGGACGCGGTTAACTCCGTCAAGGAAGGTGACGTTGCTTCTGTTAACAGTAAATTTTGCGCAGCGATGACGGATTATGGAGTAATGACGGTTTTGAGGAGGCTGGGGAGGTTTGACTAACAATTTATCGTGAAACAAAATGACATATATACATGCATAAAATGTAGCTAATGTGGTGATGTAGACTCGTTTTCTTCTTCTTTTTTTTTTTGTGGGAACAATCTTTGGTGAACTGAAACAATGTTACGTTTGCACTAAGAATGTTTGGTTGCTTTTGTAAACTGAACTAACACATGCACCAACTACGTTGGGAGAGTGGAGAAGGAGAAGCTCTCTGATTCGTCGACCTCGTTATATTAAAGGGAGCTTACATAGTTTAACTTTCATGCCACCGACAACACAGCCACACATTGCTCCGATCAATGAAGGTGAGAACACAGTACTGAAACTGAACCTTAAGCTTGGTGGTGCCGTTACACGTACAATCAAAACCAACTCAAAAGCGGGTATTTATACCAAAGCCACGGTATATAAAACTCTTTGTCTGTTAGTTTTTGGCTCATTAGTTATTTTTGAACTTTTTTTTTTGTTTCTTTCCTAATGTTTTGAGACTAGTATAGGATGAAGGACGGAAGCTGTTTGGGAATAAGGTGAAAGGAAGTGTACCAGTGCAGAGATGTGTTCAGAAAACTATGTATCTAGGAGAGATACATCATGGAGCAGCATCCATGACAGAGAAGAGCAGGCGTATTCTTAAAAAACGTGTATGGGATCCTGAGCAAGACAGTGATGATGATGATGGAGATGAAGAGATTAGATATCTAGAGAAGTTAAAGTCTACAAGGGTCATCACAAGGGAGTATCAAGGAGGTAGTAAAGAGGATGACAGAGAACAACTCACGTCAGACAAACATGGTTTAACTGAAAGGAGTAAGTTACGGATGGGAACAGTTGATTCTCTTGCATTTCCTACTACTCGTACTCGAGCTCTTCAATATGGAAAAGATCCATATTCTCCTCTCGGGTCGGGTCCTCTAGAGTTTCCTGATGCCTTACCTTGCCCCTCTTCTAAAAGTGAGAGTCTTTTTGATGTTAGTTGCAAATGCTTTTTTTTCTGTAAATCTTGAACAACAATTTTCCAGGACAAAAACAAAAGCTTTCTGAGGTAGAGCAACAATCAAAGAAGGCTGAAGCTGCACAGACTCGGTGAATGCAGTCCGAGAAGGCTGCACAAGAAGCTGAGGTAAAGTTTAATACATTTTTTTTTCCAAATAGTACCAAGACAATCCTTGTAATAGTCTAAGATCTTTTTCACCAGGCTGAAGCTATCAGGAAGATACTCGGGCAAGATTCAGAGAGAAAAAAGAGAGAGGAGAAGATTAAAAAACAACAGGAAGAACGAGCTCAGGTACCTAAATAGCTGTTGACATTCTTATCTTTTCTCTATATGTGTTGATTTCATATTTTCTTCTTCACAGGAGAGAGCTACAAGATCCAGCACACTCGCGTCAAACACAGTTAGATTGGTCAATCGTCCGAGTGGAACAACTTTGACATTTTCTGCCGGTAATGCAAGAGTCTATGTATAGTATAGAGACACCACATATGTGGAATGTGTGAGGTATTAAACTGTGTTTTCTGTATTGGATCTTTCTTCAGTTATCCTCCTGCACGTGAGAAATGTGTGGGACCGAACTGTGAGAACTCGTACAAGTACAGGGACTCAAAGTCGAAGCTACCAATATGCAGTCTTAGTTGTTACAAGGCTATTCAAAGCCAAGATACAACAACAACAACAACCTTTGATTCATTGCTAATTACTTAACAGAGTTTTGTCAAAACATGTATTATTAAACACGTAATTGTTTCTTTAACATGATCAAACAAACCTTCACCTACTAGATTTTTTTTTTTTTCAATCTGAATTTCATTGAAGATTTAAAAGTTCACATACAACCAACACAAGGATTTTACCTACTCCACTGTTTCCAGCAAAGTATGGAAGAAAACAAAATTACATACCAGAACAGAGCTTATACAAAACCTTGACAATAAAAGGTTTGAGCCTATATCAAACCTCAAGCCTGACCTGCTTTTAACGACTGCGTAACGTAACGTAACGTAACCACTGCGTCAAACCTTGTCTCGTTACACTTTGAGCGCGATGAAAGACGCCTCTCTATTCGCCTCTCTTTTAACCACCAATTGATACTCCTCAACAGAACCTAGTTCAAGCCTTATTTCATCTCCACGATACATAAAAGCAAGTCACGCTTGAGGTCTTTCCACGTTACCAAACATCTCCGCAAAATCATATGTAAAGATGATCTTACTGAAACGCATGTTTACGGCCATACTCTCCAACGCCCACATAATCATTGACAGCTTTGCCTCATCCTTATTAAGAACTTCTGAAAAGGCTCTTCTACAATGGCATAACACCACTCCTCTGTGATTGTGAACCACCCAAGCTACTCCAAGCAACCTATTTCCCCGATTCCACTCAAACGCCATATTGCACATTAACCAACCAGCTTGTGGTGGTCTCCAATAGACATGGGCGTTCGGTGGCCCATTCGGTTTCGGTCCGGGTTATTTGGATTTTCGGATTTTTGGTGTTATGCTCATAAGTACCATTTAGTTTTTACTAATTATCGGATGGGATTTGGTTCGGTTCCTTCCGGGTCCGGTTCGGATCGGATCTAACCAATGTTTAAAATCGTTCAAAAATATATTTTTTAAAACCTTGAAAATTGACAAAAGAAAGTTTCAAAATATATAAATTATTTACAAATCTAATTAAAAATTAGTTAAACTATCTAAATTTACTAAAAGTATTCAAAATAACAAATAAAATAAACTACAAAAATATTTTGAATACTCTAAAATATCTAAATCACCTAATATATATAAGACATTAACATATTTAATTAATTTCGGATATCTTCGGATCCTAAATTTACAAAAAGTATTCAAAATAACAAATAAAATAAACTACAAAAATATTTTGAATACTCTAAAATATCTAAATCACCTAATATATATAAGACATTAACATATTTAATTAATTTCGGATATCTTCGGATCCTAATTCGAATTTCTGTTCGGTTCGGATTATAACCATAGTCCAAAGTACTAAGCTCATAAGTCCCGTCGGGATATCTTTGTAAAAAATTTTAAATTCTGTTTCGTTTTTTCTGATTCGGGTTGAGGTCGATATTTCCGGTTGAGTTAAAAACGCCCAGGCCTAATCTCCAATATGCCTACTAGATTAAGCTTTTCGCTTTTAAGTGGACATTGAAGAAAAAGTTAAACGTGGGATTTGAAGTGGTTGACATCTTTTGTTTCATTACAAACTCTAGTGATATAGACATCAAATCCAAACTAACAATACAGAAGACATCAAAATCATACTTTTCATTTGTAACATTTAAGACATGACTTTGATAACACTCTTTGAATGCTCATCAAAAATATATCCACTTAGAGAATCGGCTAAGAAAAAACATTAGGAACTTGTAACTTAGAAAAAGTTAGTTGCTGATACACCATGATGTCTTACAATATGTAATTGACCAGATCAGAGACTGCTAAGTTTTTCCAAAGATGAGTATATATAAATAAAACCGGCTGCAAACACTATGGATGACGACCCTGTTACCTCTCAAACAGCCGTTCACTATACATTTGCTCATATCCTTTTTTGTTGCCACAAAGCTTTCTCATGTCTCCTCCTCGGTCTTAAACTCTGGAAGTGTTTTTTTATTTGCACCTATGAGAGAGTGCCTTCCGTCCACACCCACAACTATATAGAAGTCAAGAGGTGTTGAAATCTCATGATCCATTTACAGCCATTTCAGGTGATGATTTCTGAGCTACTACCATGGATTCTTCCCCATTTAGCTTTCCATTGTCCGATGACGCTCCCTTTTCAGAACTGGAAACTCCATCATCCTTATGATTTTCGTCTGAACTGCTGCTATTATTCTCCTCACTACTTCTAGACTCCTCTGGTTCCTTAGCTATAATCGAACGTGCAGATCCAGTAGTGCCTTGGCTTTTCTTACCGGCTAGCACTGCATGGCTCAGCGTCGAGCATAGCACGGCAAATACATTTTCTCTTTTCGAGTTTTTACCCAACCGTGATTTCTTGGACGCCTCTTGTTCCCTTTCTACTGAAGGGGATTTGCGTTTCAGCATAAGGAGCTCGCCTTCGTCCTCCTCAGAGACTTCTGGCTGCTTCCGAGGAGGCGGCTTATAGTCTTCATCATCTTCATCGTCCTCATAGTCAACCAAGCCTCCAGACCTCGGGCTATATAGTTGATAGAAGCCGCAAGCAAACCCCATCAGACAAAAATATTGCATATAGCTTTCATGAATTTTCATTGTGGAACTACTATACCTGGAGGAAGTAGGGCTTGCAGCCACTCCATTTGAAAGATGAGGTTTCTGTTGTTCTTTTTGTGTATTAGAGGAAGTTTTTTCCTTTTGTGTATTAGAAGCAGATGCAGAATCTTCTTCGTCGCTGTTAGTACTTAAATGTGTGAGAAACGTTCAAGCATAAACAAAAAAAATATAATGTTTTAACGCCCAGAGATAAACCTGTCTTCGTTGAAATAATCTTCCTCCTCTTTATCCAATGCACGCTCCTCCACTCTTCTTCTCGGATCAACCTCATCAGCAGCGCTTCTCGGTACGGCGCTTTCTAAGCACTGAAGACACATTGTTTGAACAAAGGTAGTTTTTTCTAAAGTTAAAAAATCAAGATCCTGTAACAATACCTGCTCATACTTGATCTTAAAGGCCTGGATCGAGGTCAAGCACTGAAACGGGGCCAACTGGTCCCAGAACGTATCAACTACGTATTTGAGCAACAGAGTTGCATTTCCCTACAAATAAAGTAAAATGATCACTAAATACGATACCATCTATAACTAGATACACAAAAGGGGAGAAAAGATGAAAAATGAACCTTGCGTATGTGCTCAAGCAGATCCAAGACTGCAGAGTTCAACAGATTGTACCGGTTCCCATTGGCAATGAAGACATCCATAACCGGTTTCAGCAAGTTGTTCTTAACAACGTAATTCTGGACAAAATCATCCTGAAATAGAAATACATTTCAGTAAGTCATCTGATGTGTTTTACGTAGTCATGATCAAAGGTGACTTCAGTTGAGAAGAAAATGTCAGTTTTCACTAGCAAGTAGAATAAGTTTATCTATTATTTCACAAAAAGTATGATTGCTACACTAATATGATTCAATTCTTCAGTTACTGGGAACATTCAGGAACTATTTTCAGATGACCAATTGTATAGCGTATTGGGTTCAAATAAATCTACTCACATGTACAGATAGGAGAGTACGGACAAATCTTATACAAGCAACCACTAGGTATTTTTCCTTTCTCCGTGTGAGATGCAAGATCTTTTCAGTCACATTGTTTTGGAGAAAACTGCATCTGTAGAGAAGATGAAATTGCACATCAAATATTATCAAATGGGTTCCAGCATGAGAATTAAACAGAAACAGAAAACAAGTATCAACATGATTACTTTATTCTGGATGAATCTTGCATGATGCAAAAGCACAACAGTTCACATATGTTTACTAGGACTTCAGGCTTTGTGCGAAACCTTCTCGCTGGACCTTCAGATATGTTGCCTGGCTTCTCAGGACATGAGGCACTAATAACATCCACTATCTCAGGTAGATGTTTCTCGTAGAAAATATCCAAGATAGTTGATCTCTGCTAAAAATGAGATGGGTTAATAAATAATAGAAATCAGGATGTCTATCTAGCAGATTAGAAGAGAAACATGGGTAGCAACACAAACACTTCGGCATTTGAAAATTGTAGCAAATAGCTAGAAAAACACTAAATACAACGTTAATAGTGAAAAAAAAAATTCAAGAAAGAACTCCATAGTCTACTGATTCAAGAACACTCGAGATATAGACGGACTCGGAACTTTTCTTAGCAAGCTTGACGATTCCAAGGGAGTACAAAAGAGGGAGAATATCACCCTCTCTATTTATCAGAATTTGAAAGGAAAGAAGGATGCACCTGAGCTCCACCTGCCAATGCATTTGTATCCAGTAATGTTCGGATAATTTCTAGAAATTGGCAATGCATCTTATCACCAAAGTCCTCCATCATTCCCTTAACCTGTTACAGAAAAAAGAGCGACAATTATAACTCAAGTCTGTAACATACAAAAAAGAAGCAAAAAACAAAACCCTTTCAGCCAACGGAAAAATCCAAAGGCTTACAGAAAATTACCAGGAGACCGAGAAGGGGGGTTCCTTCTGTGCGAACATAAGAACGTAAAAGGCTGGGGTCTTGATTCAAGAAAAGAATCAGGATATCTGTCCTGCATCCACAACAACATTACCTTGAGTATGCAGCTTGTACATTGACCACTGAAGTTCTTATAGGCACTAGAAAAAGAAACAGAGTAACCAGAATAAGCTATAAGGTTTAATTAATCGTATACCCAGTTAACACGAGCTTTTTGTCTGGAATCTGCAAGACTTCCTCTATGACATGAAAAATTCCTTCATTGATAAGGTCCCTGAAAAATCATTGACAAGACAAGCACGGAAGCTGAGAAACAGATCCCCAAAAGATTCTTAAAGAACTCGACAAAGAAAAGGAATTTAGTTTCTAGTGAGTGCATACCTAAAAAGCCGGAGCTGCTGCACCACTTGGAGGCTCTTGCTTAAACTACAAAATTCGTGCAAGAAATATACCTATTTCAAAGAGAATAAGCATATCAGTCAGACGAACTCAATTGAAAAGCAATATTTTTTTAACTGTGATGCATTGTTTCCATCTATCATCACACGTACATCATCTCAGCATTCGGAATAGAGGAGGGGATCCCAATTAATTGTTAACTGAACTGAATTAAGTTTTATAAATAACATTCACGAATCAAAACAACTGCCGCATAAAAGATAATAACAAAATGCTTCTTGAAGTCAGGAAATACCAAATTTTTCTTGGATTCCATAGATGTAGAAGGTGACCTCAATCTTGCAAATAATTCTTGAATAAAAGTGCTATCATCCTTCAGCAATGAAACAACCTGAAGAAGATGCACTTCAGTTAAACAAAAATATAGAATGCATTCTTTCAATGCCGATCTTTGATAGCATTTCCATGGATAACTTACAATGGCATTGTTGGCATGGATAACTGAATTCAAGTTTGCAACAATAGCATCATCTAATACTCTGGCCAGGACAACATCCTGTATGAAGTGGCAGAAGGTGAGAAACCGAATACCGTAAAGAAGAGGCATAAAGTTGGATGAAAAGATTGGATCCAACCTTCAAGTAGCCAATTCTGTACGTTTGGTGTATCTTTGACAGAACTAATGGATCTTTAATTGGTATAGCCTGCAAAAATATAGAGCAATGCTAAAGACTCCAAAAATAAAGTTTCTAAACATCCTAAATTAATCGCTCTAAATGTCAATGAAAGCAAATCCTTAAGTATTCATAGTGGGCAAATTCTTTTCTTACAAAAACAGAAACTATATCTAACATTTCTAGTAGGCATAATGTGTTCTTGTAAAATGAAAGCGTTTCTAACATTCATCTAAGTGCAGTCTACGTTAGTGGTCCTGAACTACAAGAAATCAGTAACACGAGGGAAAATTGTATTACCTCCTTAAAAACGACATGCTCCTTCAGAAAATTCCGGTGATGCTGAGAGTGAGGAACACCGGGATCATCTATCCGAAGATCAACATGCATCATCAAATATTGCTAAATATGAGGCAACGACCAAGAAAGAGAAAGCAGCAAATTGGCTAAAAGTATATGTTGTCGCATACACAAACCCTTAAGAACAAGTCTATTTGATCCAGCAAGAAACATAAGCTATGGTTTCCATGTATGACTAAGGATATGAAACCACAAGATCGTTCCTCGAAAGTGTAAATATCTAAAGGCCTATCCTACATATATCCACCAGCTACCGAACTAAGGGATCAAGGGATCATTAGATTGACATCAAACTGAAACTTACACTCAAGGCATCCAATAATTTCCATGATCAGCTCATCTCCAAATATTTTCTCCAATATCTGAGAGCTGTTGAGCAAAACTGCATATAAAAGACATAAGAGATGCTGGACATCAAGAGAAAATTTATAAAATGTGGATGGAAGACATGACAAAGATATGTGTGTGAATACTAACTGATTCCCTTGACAATATTGAATATCATGTGAAGGCCGTCAACATTTTCCAATTCCTCGCATACTTTAAACACACCCATCAGATTCCGGAAGAAATCATGCTGCACCACGGGAAAAGGTAGCTTTAGGAGACAAACTACAACAACTAGTACAAATTGAAGAGATGACACTGAAATCAAAAACTTTGAGTACTTTAGAGATGAAAATAAAACAAAAGAGAGCTCAAACTATATCAACGGAATGTTATTGCTAGCTAGCGCTTGTAATTTGTAAGTAAGCATAAAAAAATAATGCCACTGGCAGAAAAGCTTAGGCGTGCATTAAGATTTCCCCGAGAGAGTGCAAGCTTAGATATTAAACTAAACTGAACTGGCAAGGACAAGAAAACTTAATAACTTACATCCTTCAATACAAGTTCAGTTAGACGCATCTGATCTGTAATGCCACTCTCTGAAACAATCTGCAAGGAAGGTGGAAAGATAAAAGAAATTAAACACAGGAATCACCACACACGAGACATCAGTAAAACATAGGGCCAGTAGAATCTTATAACCTTCAGTATTAGGGGAAGTGTAGTAAGCTCTACAGCAGGAAGCTCCCTCAACTCACTATTTAGGCTGTGAAATGTCTCACCTGCTCAATCACAAATGATTACATAATCAAAAGTTAATACATAAAACTTGCAAGATGAAGACTGTATCCTAGGAAAACGATCCAATCTCTATGAAAGTGCTATAAAAACTATCTGCTATCAGTTAATCTGAAATGCAAATGCCAAAGAGGCTAAGAAATTACTCATGATATCTGATAACTCGGTTACCAAGTAGACCCCAAGTTACTTTTACAGCAAAAAAGAAATGCGAACTTTAAATAAAATCAGGATACAGTCGAATAGATTAAGCATATGCTACATATAAGATACTATCACGATAAGTAAGACGAGACGTTTCAATCAGCATGAAGATGTTGAAACAAATCTTCACAAATTATTCTGAAATCCAAAACGCCCTCAAGAAACCTAGCTTCTTAATAACAATGCGTTACTACTACAAAAGTTTGAAACACTATTTAAATTATTTCTGTGACACAGAACCGAATAGAATACGCATATGCTAAACAAAAGAAGCAAGCCACGATTACCAAAAATCAACTGATATAAATACTCCAGAAGAAAATTCTTACTGTTCAGAGAGCTGAAATGCAAATTTCGCTGCGCAGTGCAGATTTGATCCCTGAATATTACAAAGACCATAATTGCAGTCAAGACTACTGAGACATGTAAGAATGAAAGATGTCAAGACGGGGATAATAGGAGAACTTTCTTCACTAACCATACATAAGAGCACCCAGCAGTCTCTTGAAAGCTCAAAGCCATTTCTGTTGAACGCTCTGGATCTCTCCATGAGATTATTGTGTCTGTACATTGAAAAAAGTACCACTTATCCACACATACACACCAACGATATCATAGCTGATAAAACCGCGACGGGCAAAGCCTACCTTCTTGTTTCCTATAAATATCCTCAGGGTTGATGGGATGCACAAGTAACATTTCGTTATCGTCTTCATCGATTACACAAAGGCTAAGCTCTTCGGAACGCTGCATCATATATCAATTCTATTAAGCAAAGATTATTCAAAGAATACATGCAGCAGGAAGTTAAACAGAAGCAAAACCAGACCTCCACATAGTCGATGCTAACATGCCCAGTTCCTCGATCATCCCATTTCCCATCTTCATTCAAATGATAAACCTTCACTCTCTAAAACAATTGATACCAAAAAAGTAAGAAAAACTGTCCCTTCCTCTCAATTCAACACAAATTCATCGGTTTTTACAGTATCAATCAATTGAATAGCACAGTGATTTGCTGACTAACCATGAAGTTCTCTACAAGAAATTTAACTAATCGAGAAAGCCTTAGTTCGATTTCAAGTAACCAAAGCGATAACGAGAGAGAGAGAGACACACACACACACACACCTGCATAGAATTGGAATTAGATTGAGACTTTTCAGGGGCGCCCATGACTGATTTCTCCAGTTCCAAGCCGAGAAGGTGAAAACACTGACACCGAAGCAAAGTTAGGGTTTTTGGAGAAAGGAGGAAGGAGACGAATTAGACGGTGGTGATAAAGGCGGGCGACTCAGCTTCTGGAAGGGGACGGAATCAAATAGGAAACCCTAATTAACCATACGGAGAATCAAATTAACATTGACAATCTCTTTCTCTCTCTCTCTCTAGCTTTTTTTTATTTTTTCTTTCTGCGGAAGCTTTCCCTAACCTTCGAAAACGCGAAAGAAGAGAGAAGAAAGAAAAAAACAATTAAAGCAATTGAAAATATTATAATTCTTCGAAACATTATGGAGAATATTCCATTAATACCCTCAGGAACTACCGATATTCACACAAACACCACACTACGCGCGTCTTCCCGCGAGTCTGCTCTCGCTCTCTTTAAAAATGGACAGCCTGTGACGTAAGAGAAATAACAAGCGTTGTCTGTACTAAAACGCGTTACGCCCAATCAAAAGGGGCCAGGTGTGATATTGGTAGAGAGTCTGGGAGATTAGTGATGCTCTGAAGTGAGTTGACTATGTGGTCAAGTAAGTTCGCACGTGGCTTTAGGTTGTTGGTAGGTAGATAAATCCAAAGCGCGGCAAGAAAGGGGGAGTCAATGAATCGAAACCGCGCGAGACAGGCTTTGTATTACAAATCACAACTCTTTTTTCTAATACGATAATTACAAATTTTAATATTGACATAACCCCTAATTATTGTTTTCCCCACAACACTCCGTTCACAACAGTCAACACTATTTTAACAAGGGGTTTCATCTTTACAATTTCAAATGCGTACAGTCAAGAACTGAAGATCTTAGGGCAACATTATTGCAGGGACAAAATTTATGTCTCTTAGCATTTTTTATTATTACTTTTTGATTAAGAGATAATGTTAAGAAACAGAAGCAAATATACACATTATTGGTAGAAACTTTTATGTTGTCCCTTAGTTAAAAATTATTTGAAGTATGAAACAGCTAAAGAACAAGCACAAAACTTGAAACAGAAACAACACTCATAGCTTCCCAATACGAGCCACAGAGGTACGCACTCTGGACAGTGCTTCAAACCAGATTCATAAGCTTTCCTGGCCTGTTCCTGATGATTGAAACGTTCCTCACCTCTTCATGTTCTTCTTTAGGCCGTGCAGATTTTTTGACGCAGAGGCAAGAGCTTGATGATGTTATGCAGAGAACTCAGGATATTTGTTGCAGAATGACTGCGCATCTTGTTGTTTCTGTCAGGCTTGATGGAAACAAGATGACCGGTGTTGAAGATGACTAGAGCCTCGTAGAGATTTTTGTATCTGAAGCTTAATGTGAAACATGACGTTTGACCGCATCTGGTTGTTTCTTTCCTCATGACTCCCATGATCCTTGATGACTCTAGTGGTGTGTGTATACTATCTAGCCTGGAAACGGACATCTCTCGATGTATCANTCAGGCTTGATGGAAACAAGATGACCGGTGTTGAAGATGACTAGAGCCTCGTAGAGATTTTTGTATCTGAAGCTTAATGTGAAACATGACGTTTGACCGCATCTGGTTGTTTCTTTCCTCATGACTCCCATGATCCTTGATGACTCTAGTGGTGTGTGTATACTATCTAGCCTGGAAACGGACATCTCTCGATGTATCAATGGAGAAGATGAGTAGTAGACCGCCGAGGATCATTCCTCGAGCTGTCCAAGCATCAACCAAAGCTTGAAGAATCTTGGGAACTGTTTCAAGCCTTCATTAATCAATCTCCTCTCCGCCTCTACGTGGCCAAGTTCTCTCTCAACAATGGCAGATTTCATCCATACCCTCTCAGTCCCACCTCTTTCCCTTGCTTTTGCAAGAAGCATTCTTGCCCTCTCCGGCTCCTTGTTCTCAAACTCCAGCTTGAAAGCAGCAAGCCATATTTCCTCGGAATTGGGAATTGCAGCATAAGCCTCTTGTAGAATAGCACGAGCTGCTGGAACATCTCCAGCAAGCCACTTCTCTTTAGCACCCATGAGCCAGAGAACTTCAGCCTGAGGGACATATGTCACAGCCTTACGCAACAAGGTATCAAGGGACTCCTTACTCATGTGGCTCTTTTCAAACGTGAATAACAACAAATACTTGTAAATGAGACTCATTCTGGTCAAGATCCTACTTGGAGCTTGGGCTTTTGCTCGACCCTTTACGTTTCTTTGAAGTCTTCTTCTCCGGTAAAACCTCTTCTTCCTCAAACTCGCTTTCATCTCCTCCAGTTTCCTCATTAGCAAGAACCACTGCATCAGGAAGAATCCGAGCCCTCTCTTTAACTTCAATCGCAGCACAAACATTCTCCTCACTGTCTTCCTCTAAAATCTACAACAAAGGTTCTTTCTTTCTCTTAACACTACGAAACAAAAACGAAATCTTTTAATCACTAACACTCAATAAAAGACCCCAAGTAAAAATTCATTACAAGACCTAACATGGTGTGAAAACTAACCAAACAATGTCTTTATCCTTTAACACACAGCTCGACTCAAACGGCGGTAAAACGAACTCATCCATCTGAAACACCAGACGAACCCTCACAGTTACGTCCGCCATCATAGACNCAAAAACGAAATCTTTTAATCACTAACACTCAATAAAAGACCCCAAGTAAAAATTCATTACAAGACCTAACATGGTGTGAAAACTAACCAAACAATGTCTTTATCCTTTAACACACAGCTCGACTCAAACGGCGGTAAAACGAACTCATCCATCTGAAACACCAGACGAACCCTCACAGTTACGTCCGCCATCATAGACGAGTTTCAGAGATGAAAAGGATGATCATTCGCTAAAGTTTCGACCTTTTTCGGAATCCTTAAACCTTGTCTGTCAGAAGAGAAGGAGAAAGCGAGAAAAGATTAAGACCAACCTAAGCAATCAATCCTAGAACAAAACAAAAGAATTTCAAAAATCCTAAAACAGAGAAACGAAAGAAGAAATCAGAGAATCTAATAGCAATCAATCAATCTAACTAATTAATTTAATCAATCCTAAACTATTATGCAACCTAAGGCAATCATATCAGATAAGAATATTCAAATTCCCCAAAAACATAGAGAAGCCATGTTCAAGGGGAGGTAACAGGTGCAAGAATAACGAGAGAGAAGGAAGAAAAAGAAGAAAACAATTGGTTGAGAAATAATGGGAGAGGGTAAGAATGAACAGATGAGAACGTCATCTGCAAACAGAGAATTTCAAAAATCCTAAAACACTCATGGAGCAAACAGAAGAGAACCAAAAGAAGAATCAGACGACGAAAGATGAAGCCACCTCTTCTCTCTCCTTCACGTGCCTACACCTGTCCATAAGAAACGTTATTTTTGTCCCTTAATTAACAAACGTCTCCTTCATTTTTTTTTAATTTTGATTTATTTTTTGGTGCTTTTTACTAAGGGATGTCATTAAGAACCGCCGATAATTATGGTCTTAGACAAAACTTGATTTCATTTTATTATTGCCATGGATTTACATTCATCAATACAAAAGTCATTTTCACTAATTAAGCAAACAAAGATTAAAGACGATGGCTCGCAATTACAATATGCAGATTATTTTGCCTTACACTGACGCAAATTAAGATTAAACCTTTGATATTCACAGAACAAACAATAAATGACTTCAGACACTATTTCACAGAGATAAAGCTTTAATATTCACAGAACAAACATTAAATTACTCCAGCAGTATTCACAGAGATAGTGATTCGCTTAACCTAGAGAAAACCAATATAGAAGTTTAGCAAATCGTAAGCCCCTTAGAGATACAAATGACCAACTAAAAGAAAGCTTAGACATAAGGACTTTCATGGTAAAAACAATTAGTATCATGCAAACAAAACCTAGAAAAGTACCAAGCATAGTTGAATAAGAACTAGATCGATTCATTACGTCACACATAAACCCTAGATATATAGAAGCAGTCTAATTATTAGATTACAATTCTAACACAGACATGAACCACTCAAACAAGCTAAATCAAATCATGAAATGCAACACTTAAGATTAAAGAATACGAATATTAAATCAAGGCCTTGATAAAACGAGTACGTAAACATAATCAAAACAAACTGAAACAGTCTCAACTTCATTAAAAAAAACTCCAAAATGTATTCTCATACAAAATCAAAAACTTATTCTTCAACGGCATTCTCGCCGCTCTTAACGTTGTGCTTCCTCGCGTACCTCTGGTTCCTCAAGAACTTTGGGTCCATCTGTTAACATTTCATTAAAAGCAAAATCAAACTCTGAAACTTAAAAATAAAAATAAAAATCTGGAGAGTTAGGTTTTAAGCTGTGATAAAAGACTTACTCCTCTGGTGGGAGTGTGACGGTGCCTCCTTGGCTTCTTGATGCCGTTCTTGTGTGCCTTGGCAGACTGGTTATGCGCTGTGTGATTCTTCGACTTGGCCATCTCTGTAAAAAATCCTATTCAATTAAACCACGAACGATAACAAGAAGAAAGAAGATAGGTGTCGTCGGAGAGAGAAGTGGCTAACCTGCGTCGGGAAGATAAGAGGAAAGATCTGCTCGGCTAGAGTTGCTTACGGCGATACAAAATGCAACAAAACCCTAGCTCCTTGTCGGTTTTATAGTGAAGTTTAAATGTCTAAAAAGCCCCTAATAGATCGTATGGGCCTAAATAAATATATGGCCCGGTTTTCATTTATATTAAGCCTACATAATGAACCCAAGTTACTCTTCTTTGAATAGAACTAACCCATGATAAAAAAAAAAATAGAATTAACCCATGATCAAAAACTCACTAGACGATAGTCGGACGATCGGGTTGGGCCTAGCGCCTAGATAACAAATCGGAGATTAATCAGGCCAAGTTTTTATAATTATATATATGCACTTCTATAGATATAATAATATATGTGAAATATAACATTGAGATTGTTGTCTCCTAATGGTTTATGTCCTTCATCTTTCATTAATAACTTGGGTTCGACATTAGTCCGTGCCATTTTCATCTTTTCGCTTTATTTACCTAGTGGATATACAAAGTCCCACATCGGCTATAAGTGAAAAGGAAGCAACAACGTGTTCTACATATCTTTTATATACTAAATCACAAGTCACTCAGACCAATCCTAGCATGACACATGGAAAATAAAAATTAAAAATTAAATAAATTAATAGTAAAAAATGAGCAGTTATAAGAGAAATTTAAAAGTAAAAACTTCAACCAAAAGAAATTTATCGGATCCTTAATTCAACTGAAAAAAATCCCTAGATTCTCTCCGCTTACTACCACCACGTTCAATGGAAAATCATGCAATCTATATAACTCCCAAATCATGTCATCAATATAACTGTTTCATCTTCTATAATTTTTCAGTCAAACTAATTGCTCTTTGTTTGTTCTTTCTCTCTCTTTTATACTTACGTAGCAACAGAAAACTGATACAAGTTTATAACTATTGTTTATTCAGATTCAGTTTTCTTTTCTCAACTACTTTCTTTTTTTGCATAATTCATATTGATGATGGTAATTGAGTTTCCTCAGCACTCCCCTACTTCAGAATTCAAAGGCCAGCTTAATCTTGACAACAACTGAGGTAATAATAAGTATATAGCACTCTGTTATATAAATGATTTTAAGGTAGATAATGATTACTTTCTCTTTCTTTGACAAACAAAAGAAGATTGAATATTTATGAATCTGTTTTTTTTTTCAATGGCTTATTCTTAAGAAGACAAAAGAACAACAGACGTCAACATTTGATTTTTTTTTTCAGTTAATCATGAAAAGTTTTAATGTTTTTGAGTTTTTCAGTGAGAATTTTCGGTTTATTACAGTTTATTACAGGATCAAAGGAAAACTATGTCATCTTCTTTCTTAACGTGAATATCAATTGTTCATAAGGATATATATATATTAGTTAATTATCATTGTAAGTTATTACAGTTACTGGATACATTATCCTTATATCCATAATTTATGGCTTTATGTAAATTAGTTTTACATGCTGGTTTTGCTAATCTATTTACAGTTTTCTGTTATATAGTGTTAAGATACATGTTAAATTTTTAAAATATATTTTATTTTTATTTGATTTGCAGATGAAGAAGATATAGTAACAATTAAAGGCGTATAGTTGTTAAGCGGGTTAAGAATCGGCTAACAAGAAGAAGGTAAGAATCTAAAAATAGTGTGTTTTTTTTACTAATCAGATAATTTAAATGCTATTTGGATTAGTCTTTTAGTTACGTAATTTATGTAAACTATGTATAATTTTGTTGTTTAATTCTATTATTTTCATTTGTCAATATATAATTCCAAAATTAATGCTTAACTATAATTGGTTTACTACATGCAAGTATGGAACTCTTGACTATATATGTAAATAAATGTTATTCTTTTCCTAATTAAAAGTATTTAATTTAGTTTTAAAATATATAAAAAAAAATAGCTATCCGCGCAACCGCGCGGGAAATATCTAGTATATATATATTCTACACTAAACCACTTAAGGCTAAGACTTTATTAAAGATATGTTTTTACGAAAAGCCCTAAAAATATATATATAGTTAATAATTGGGTCGTTTAATCGGCAGATGACCCGATTAATCATGAAGTGGCCGATTTTTCGGTCAAATGGACCGATTAATTGGAATCCGATTTTTCATCCCGATTACAACAAAATCGTGGCGGAGAGGCTCCATTTCGCGACTATTTGAGCGGTTAGGCGCACGAGTTTTTGAACAGAGAAACTAATTGATACATGAAAGATATACATACTAGAGTAGGTCAATGAAACATTACGATTAGTACAAATGAAATATAAAAGTGATAAACATCAAAGGCCATGCAATCTCTACACCTACAACCAAAGAAACTGAAGATAGAGATGAATCTAAACACTTTGGATGCCTATATATGGACAGGATGTTTCAGAAATGATGAGAAACGTCTGTTTGGTTGAAAGCATCTAAGAATGAAGTTATGTAAACATCTAATAGTCTGATGCCTATGACGAGTAGTAGCACTATGTGTACAAGATGCTAGACTACAATTTTGCACCTAAAACAACTTAACTATCCTCTCTTTTTTACTCCTCTTCTGAACTATAATGTCTCTTTCTTTATCAGGCTTTGGTAGTAATCACAGCTTCCTCTGTTGTAAAGCAGTGACAATATTCTCATGTTACTTTTGTTTGGCGTAACATATATAATTTACTATGCAATATACATACCCTTTACAGCTTTATTATATGTTATAACATGAAGACTAGGGACAAGGGGGAGGAAGCTGTTGCTGTATCTCAACCATGAATCGGTATCTGTGAGATATCTGCGCGAGCAGATAAAGCTATCAGTGAGAGGATTGTTACATCATATTATTTTCTCCTTCGAAAATAAACACAAACCATGACCTACTTGGACAGCCTTGCGTGTGTCCAAAACGCACCAAGATACACCAAACCCCTTTGGTGTGCCAGAGAAAGAGCTCAGCAAAACACAAGCCTTGAACCGCAAGTAATCAGGAATGTCCCTATCTTTTATGATACGGGTTGTTAGAAAACCTCCAGTACCTTGATGGGTGAAGTATGAAGGCAATTCTCCACCAGGCAAGACAGCAACACTTGATGCTGATGTCTGTATGAGTTCTCTCGCTTCTTCATTCAGTTTCAAGCAGTTGTCAAAATGGAGATTGACTTGTGGATTGTTAAAGGAACCATCTACTGTCTCCAGCAACGCACAGTTACATGCATCTAGGTATATGAGGGAACCTGGAAGTTGGTGCAATGAGACAAGATTCTTGCACCCATTGAGATCAAGATGTAGAGACCGGTCTTCTTCACCACCACACAACTCCAATACTTCCATACGGTCATCTGGAATGTTTGAGAACACCTTCAGCCTTTTGCAACCTCGCATGCTCAACTCAGCAAGATAGAGCCAAGACCTTATTGATAAAGGAACTTTTTCAATACCGGTATTTTCCAGATGGAGATGCTCAAGTCTTGTAGAAATCTCTGGGAATGTTTTTAATCTTGTGCAGTGACTGAGATCAAGATAAGACAGAGATCTCATGTTGATGTTGGTCGGAATGATCTTTAGCTTCTTGCATCTCACCATACTTAGTTTTGTAAGACATGAGAGATTCTGAATCCATGTAGGAACTGCTTCTATTCCTGTCTCGCTTAAGTCCAGCTCTTGAATGCTATTAGGAACTCTAGGGAACACCTTGAGGCTATGACACTCCCTCAATGCTATTGTATGAAGATGTGACAGAATCTTGATCCATGAAGGCATTTTTTTAATAGCTGTATCACTCAGAGAGACTGTTAGACCTGTTGTGTCTACATCACGAAGAACTCTCAACCCTGGGCACTCAAAGACCTGGATTTGAGAAGGAGACTTCCACAAGCTGATCTTTGCAGATAGATCCTTTGGTGTTGGGCACCACTCCAGTCTCAGCTCCACTAGACTTTTGAGATTTTTAACAGAGTAGGGAAGCTCCTCAAGATTTTGGCAAGCAGTGAGTATCAATGCCTCAAGATTAGTGGAAGTTGACAGATCAGGGACTTTTCTCAAGTAATAGGAGTAAGACAGATCCATCCTCTTCAGGCACCTTAGCGGCTGCACAGAATATGTTTAAGAACAGATTAGCATGCAAAATATCTCACATTGGAGTTGGAAGTAATATATAATAGAGATGGACTAATCTACTTATGGCTAAATGTTTTAACGTTAGAAACTCATATAACTTAACACGGTATCAAAGCCTCGATCATTACAAATCCAACTCGATCCACATCGATCCGGTCAAAAATTGGCTTTTTATCCGAACATTCCGAGATTGATGTATTGATGTATTAATAACATAAAGTATGATTATTATGAAAACTAATAGTACTTACTGATGAAGTTCCTTCCCACAGCGTCTCAAGGCTACTGTTCTGCATCTTAAGGTTGACAAGAAACTCGGCACGAAACTCACAAGGCAAAAACCTCATTGGAAAGTTGTGCCAATGTAATAATCTGAGCTTACGAGGCAGGTTGTTCAGACCCATCGGTAAAATCTGTTTGTTGTCATTGTAGACTCTTAAGAACTGAAGACGAGACATCCGTTCAAAGGCTCTCTCATCAATGATTAGTTTGTCCTTGACTGCAGTTATGTCAAGATCTATACCTAGAACAGTTCCAGAGACCTGAAGATACAAAACGCATATGGTTTAGTTTATGAAATGATACACTGAGAAATGCCAAGGAAAACTATTAAAACTTACTGTAATGTCTGAGAGCATGTCACAAATATCATGAGCATCCATCAAGAATCTACGTCTCCTAGGCTCATTAATGTCTTCTTTGCGGATGATTTCTTTACCCATTTGTCGTAGCAAATTATGCATCATCAAGTAACCCACTCTGTTTATAGATATGAGAGACCTCTCAGTTAAGACCTGAAGCCCATGCTTGACGTCCAAGTTACTCTCCTCAAGACACTCTAACAGTTCATTAGCTTTCTCATGTTTGAAGAAACATGCTATATGAAGAAACAGAGTTTTATCTTTATCGCATAAGGCATCGTAGCTGAGCTTTAATACTTTTTCAATGTTTCCGTCCAGACTTGTCCTTAGTCTAGGAAGTGCATGTATCCACTCATCTTTGGACATTCCGCTCATGTATGAACCAAACACACTTAGCCCTAAAGGAAGCTTACCTGCAAGTCTTACAACTTCCATGGTGAGCTCCTCAAATCCAACATAGGGACACTTCTGACTAAAAGCAGATAGACAGAGGATTTCAAGAGCTTCAGACCAACGTGGATAATCAACATGGTAAACATGGTTGATACCATGTGCCTTTAGAACTTTGATATCCTTTGTTGTAATGATAATCCTGCTTCCCTGACCAAACCACTGAGTTTTACAAGCCATGGCTTGTAGCTGCATTGCTTCTTCCACATCATCAAGAACTACAAGTACTTTCTTGTCTTTCAGCCTTGCTTCAGCCACACCCAAGTGGTCTATCTTCAGATCATTATGATCTAAGGCTTTAGATAAAAGCTGTTCTTGTAAATGTAACTTGAACGCAGTATCATCATTGTACCTTCTTTTTGTACTCTCCACAAAAGCAGTGTGTGTAAAGTCATGAGAGATTATCCTGAACAACGTTCTGGCGATGGTGGTCTTTCCTATTCCTGCAGGACCCCAGATTCCAACCATCCTCACTTCATCTGAAGCTAAGGACAACACTGAACTTATCTCCTTGATGTGAGACTCAATACCAACTAATCCATCGAAACCACTTGACGGTGTAGCAGTATTTAACATGTTTGAAACATCTTTAGCAACTTTCTCTATCATGTCTGCTTCATTGTTCCTAACAAATCAGAGACCAAACCACATCTGCTTCATTAACTACCTCTAGCTAGAGACATTCCTTAAACTAATATGTAGTAATAGTGTTAATTGATTTTAAACTATATAGTACGGTAAAAATTCTATAAATTATTACTCGATAAATAATAAATACATAAATTAATAATTTTTCTCAAATTGAATGGTTCAAAATATAATACACATTAATAAAATAATATATTTTTAGAAAATATTAAGTAAATATATGATCTCATTAGAATCATACATTAATAATTTTTATATATACAATTTATGTAAGCACAAACAAAACATTCTACTACTTTATAATTTATAATGAAGCTTTTCTCTATTTTTTGTTAACATTTCATTATATTTGATAATATTCAGTAAACTATATTTAAAAGTACATATAAATTCTATGAAACCTAATTTTATATACAGAAAACAAAACAATAAAATAATATCAAAGTCAGCTTTCTAAAACTCAATCAATATATGTACAGTAAAGTCCTTTTTCTTATTTTATATCAAAGTATATTGTAAAATAAAGAAACTAATTTTTATATAAATTAATAAAATACCATAGTCTTAATATTATTAATTAAGAATCATGGGAAGGTATCAAGATGACTAACCAGCTCCTTGAATCATATCCAGCGATCTTGGCCACTTCCTCTAGAGCTTCTCTCCATCTAGCAACATCCTCCACTGCTTTCCCAACACAAGTTTTCTCAAAGACATTTCCAAATTCTCCAGCCTGCTTCTTTACATCAGTTGGATCAACTTCATAGAAAATGATCATCACTCTTTGGTCCAACTCTCTCCTGCACTTGATGATCTCCACCAACTCGTTCAGACACCATGTTGAAGAAGCGTAGTTTTTGGACATAAGGACAACTGATATCTTCGATCTTCTTATAGCTTCTATGAGCTCAGGACCAATGGACTTACTCCTGTCGATATCGTTATCAATGAAAAGTGTGATTCCTTTTCTTTCGAATTCCTTCTGAATGTGGCTGAGAAAGCCTCTGCGGACATCTTCCCCACGGAAGCTTGGGAAGACTTGGTGTCTCCAGTTACGAGATACAGAAGATGGAAGAGATGAAGGAGAGGAAGGAGACAAAGAAGAAGCTATTAAATATTTATTTTGTTGGAATCTGTATCTTTTATAAGCCATAAGAAAAGTTGTAACCAAAAGCGTGAAGAAGCCTAGTGCAGCAGAAACTAACCCATATAAACTAGGAAAATCCATTAGTATGGCAGGAGAGAGGATCAGGAATTGAAGGAAGGTTTTTAATGTGAAATGAACAACTAAGAAGTTAAGTTTTATATTAGGTAAAACAGAGAGTTGACCCCATTGACTGACTTTATTAACATCAGCAAGGCACGAAGCTTCGTGTAGTTTTCCTATCCCCAAAAAGTTAGCTTATCTTTTCCATGGGAAGTTTGTGACCTAAGACCATTGATGTAAGCTCCCCCATTCTTGGTAAGTACGTTGGCGCCATCTAAGTCTTTCTTTGCCACTGGGACATGTTCGAGGAAATTTCAATATGTTTATGTGAATAACTTGAGCACCAAGGTGTGTGAATTGTAGTAAAGCCAAAACATTGACTGAAAACAGTATTTGACTCGTTCTTTTGAAAGTAATAAAAAGTCAAGAACACCTTTATGATCTTGAACCAATTTTGATCTTCGCATAAACTCACATTCATGTATGTGATGATCCCGTTACAGATGATGCACGACATCATTGACAAGGAGATGTGAAGTCTTGTACCGAAGAAACACTTTCTTGCTTTAGGATTTGAACGGAACCGCATAAATTAGGATGTCATCTACGTTTTCATAAATGATGAATGTAATACTTAAGTAAAAATAATTCTATGTATGCAGTGTTGGTTTTGGTGACGCCTTGTTAACTTTGAACTGTTTAAGCATATGACAGAAGAGGTTTGTGGTGTTTAGGCCAATTGCGTATGTAAATGTGACGCAGAAGATATGACTGACTATATGAGCCGTTGATTTAAATCACAGTTCTGACCGGTTTAATCATCAATGGTTTTTTTTTTAATTCATTAACCAACATTAAATGGCCCCCTATACAAGGTTTAGCGGTTTGTTGGCGAGTCGATACAGGGGTACTTACGACATTTTCGCACATTAAATTAAACCTATGGCTTAGCCGGCCCGGCCCAATTCAATTTATTTCGGCGTTTGGTTTAGAGATAAGATATGATTCGTGTCGGGTCTCTTCTGACACTCCCTCGCTACTTTCTCCCTCTTTTTAAAAAAAAAAAACTCTCTCGATTTTGAATTTGCATCTGATCTTCTTGAGCTCTGCTTACTTACTATGATCTCTGTTTGATCTTCTGCTCCTTGTGATCTTCTGATTTGCTGTTCGATTTAGATAAAATAGAACAGAAGTTGGATAATGCTGGAGAAAACCGAGAAAGTGCGTGATCTTATCTGATCTCATATTCTTCTAGTGATCTGGTCGGGTTAATTAAAGCTTAACGATTTTTTTTTGTCTCTGTGTGTTTAGATCTTCGATATTACTGAAGAGATGAAAAGCAAGCTCACATCCGCAGATCACAGCAGAAGCAGCAAGGAGAAGAAGAGTTGTGCCATTTGTGGTACGAGCAAAACTCCTCTTTGGCGAAGCGGTCCAGCTGGTCCCAAGGTTAATAAAACTCTTCCCCGATCTTTGACCTAACCACTATTTCGGATTCGATCTGATATGGTCTCTTTTGGTTTTTGCTTATGTTAGTCACTATGTAACGCATGTGGGATCAAGAACAGGAAGAAAAGAAGGACAGTGATCAGAGGAAACAGATCGGAATATCAGAAGGAGAAGAAGAATCACACTAGGAATCCGAAGCTTGGTGACTCGTTGAAGCAGAGATTGATGGAGTTAGGGAGGGAAGTGATGATGCAGAGATCAAATCAGCTCGGAGAGGAAGAACAAGCAGCCGTGTTACTCATGGCTCTCTCTTATGCTTCTTCTGTTTATGCTTAACGAAGTTCTGGAGATCTCAGTGATATGAGTTTGCAGTGATAATTAATTTTGTAGGATATGTAATGTTTTTAGGTTCTAAGAGCAAAATAGCTAACGAATGTAATTTGTTTGTTTGTCGTCTGATGTTGAGTTAAGCTTCTTTTTTTTATTATTCCTTTGCATCTTGTTTAAGTGATCTGTTGACTGTAGTAGACAATGTTAATGTCAAGAATCAAGATCATTTTCTTTGAGTTTATCTGTTATGTTTATAACAAATTTTTTTTTCTGGAACTTTTTGTCTTTATTATGACAAGAATGGAGACTGGTCTATCTGTCATTGTCAAACATATACCTTTGTTTTTCCAGAAGAAGAAGAAGATCCACTAGAATGTGTAATGTTCAATTTGCCGCTTATTTTCCAGTGAAGCCTTTAAAAGAACCTGTTTGAAAGTGATTTAATCGATCTCCAAACAACTCAAGTTGCATATGTAGGGAATAATAAAGTTTGTATTGCATGTTTGATTTAGATATATTACCCAAATGGGGGACGGTTATGGGAGTGGTTAAGCAGGCAAAGGCATGATTGAGCTGGCCTTGGACACACAATCTCCTAGCCCTAGGCATGCCTGCACGAGCCACGAACCACCTAGTTCACTGATCGGTAGAGATCATGACAAGATTTGAAAGCTATTAGTTCCCATTGTCTACACAGCGATTTCAGTATGGTAATATTCATGAATGGTAACCATGTCAGAATCAACATCAGGCCTGTTCTTTTGCTTGACGCCGTGCGGCAGCTGTCAGCGTTCAAAATAATGCCTAATTTTAAGTTTCTTGAGGCTCAAAGATGTGGTAATAAACGGCAGCGACATCCGCGCTTGACTACGAAGGATGAACGCAGTTTTTTCAGTGTCACTAACATCACCGGCAACACTCCGTAAAATAACCGCAGCGACACAAACTTAAAAGATGCTGGCGTTAATTATAATCTTTCCTTCCTTTTTTTTAGCTTTTTTTAGCCGCAGATGCTGCCGCACGGCGTCAAGCAAAAGAACAGGCCTATCTTCACCGGCTCTGGAACATACTCAAGTTTCATTGTGTAGTTGTGTGAGATTGTATCGATTTCTCTAAGAAAGCATACAGTAATACATATAACAAAAGTCAGGCCCACTTGAACGCCATCAAATGTACATGAGCCTTATTGTTCAGTAGAGGCAATCGACCGGTTCGGTATACTAGTGCAATCGTGAAGATTAGCCAAACTGTGTACAAGATTATACCGAAATTTTGTTTGATCGGGCTTGGCGGAACCATGACAAATCCATTCCCCGCACGTGCTAGCCAGCTAATATATTCACATTTTCTTTAAGAGACGCATAACTTAAAAACTCAAAAGGCAATCTGAAAAAGGTAAGATGAAAAAGAAGAAGATACTATATCACATGGTCAATGAGTAACTCATGGCTTTCAGAGGGATGTGATTGGCCTAAAGTTAAAGAGCTCTTGATGGCTAGCGAGACACTGGATCTTTGTCCTCAGCAGTACTTCGTGTTGGAACTTGGTAAATGTCAGTAGTTTTGATGTTTGATAGAATGATAGGATATGACATTGTAAATGTTTTCTCTGGTTACCGAACAACGTAGAGAAAATGTATTGTTGTGTCATCATTAAGTGAACGTTAACTAATTGATAACCCGGACCGACAAAATAGGGCAAGTGAACTAATTGACTTGTATGTAGTGTACTTTGTTTTTTAAGGCTCTGGTAAGTAAGCTTTCAATAGGAGAGAAAAGTGGGAAAAGAAAAGTAAATAGAAGGAACTAAAAAGTTTACTTTTAATTTCACTTTTGCATTTCCTTCTATTTACACTTTCCTTCTATTGAAAGTAAACTTTTTATTTTGTTTAACGTAGAAGAAAATATTGAGAATTCGGCCAAAAAAAGCACCAACTTTGCACGAATGACCAAAAGAAACCTGTACTCGAGTCTGGCCAAAAGAAACCTAAACTTTTGTTGACTTTATTAGTTTATTAAGAAACTTACGATTGACTCGCCATTTTAACACACCATTAACGAACCGTTAAGACGGTGTTAACTCGGACGTTAATTGTTGCTGTTAGGATGAAACGACGTCGTTTTCAATTGAGATGAAACGACGTCGTTTTAAGCTATTTGAAAATAAAAAGATGTAGACCCCTGGATTTGAATCCGGGTTGATTGGACCAAGTGGCAAGGAAGTTTACCACTAGGCTAGTGGCACATTCAATGTATCTACTAACACATTTAGTTATATTTAGTACTGATTGAATATTAAAAAAATTCTATAAAAACTTTAAAAATCTTTAAAATTTCAAAACAAATGAAAAAGAAAGAATTTTTTCATAAAATTAATTTTGATATTAAAATTAAAATAAAATTTTATTTTTCTTTAAAAAATCAGACGGGAACTTATAAAATTTAATTTTTCTTTTAATGTATCTATTAACACCTTTACTTATATTTGGTACTGATTGAATATAAAAAAAATTTATAAAAACTTTAAAAAGTCTTTAAAATTTCAAAAAAATGAAAAAAATAACGATTTTTTTTTAAAAATTAATTTTAAAATTAAAATAAAATTTATTTTTTCTTTAACCTAAAATTTTGGAAGATTTTTGATTTTTTTAAAGAAAATAAAAATTTATTTTAATTTTAGTTTCAAAATTAGTTTTATAAAAAACTCTTTATTTTTCATTTTTTTTGAAATTTAAAGATTTTTTAAAGTTTTTATAGATTTTTTTTTATATTCAATCAGTACCAAATATAAGTAAATGTGTTAGTAGATACATTGAAAGAAAAAAATAATTTTTTTATTATGATTTTAATTTCAAAATTAATTTTGTAAAAAAAAACTCTTTATTTTTTTCATTTTTTTGAAATTTTAAAGACTTTTTAAAGTTTTTATAGATTTTTTTTTATATTCAATCAGTACCAAATATAAGTAAAGGTGTTAATAGATACATTAAAAGAAAAATAAAATTTTATAAGTTCCCGTCTGATTTTTTAAAGAAAAATAAAATTTTATTTTAATTTTAATATCAAAATTAATTTTATAAAAAAAAAATTTCTTTTTCATTTGTTTTGAAATTTTAAAGATTTTTAAAGTTTTTATAGAATTTTTTTAATATTCAATCAGTACCAAATATAAGTAAATGTGTTAGTAGATACATTGAATGTGCCAATAGTGTAGTGGTAAACTTCCTTGCCACTTGATCCAATCAACCCGGGTTCGAATCCAGGGGTCTACGGCTTTTTATTTTCAAATCGCTTAAAACGACGTCGTTTCTTCTCAATCGAAAACGACGTCGTCTCATCCTAACGGCAACAATTAACAACGTTAATTTTTTCTGTTAAATTTGTTGACGGCGTGCCAAATTGGCAAGTCAACGAAAACATTGTTAATTAATTCGAAAGTCAATGAAAAGTTTATGTTTTTTTTGGTCAGGCCAAAAGTTCAGGTTTCTTTTGGCAATTCGTGCAAAGTTCGTGTTTTTTTTTGCCGAATTCTCAGAAAATATTAGCCTAGATTTATAACTTTTTGAGTAAATGAGGTGAAAACATTTTTGCTTAATTGGTTGAAAAGGGAATAATTCAGGTGAATTTTTTTTCACTCTACTTTATTTACTAAAAACATGGTATCCATTCACATTCTAAAACTCTGTTTTAAACCACCCAAAAAGGTATTATTCTCTAGTAAAAAAGTTTTAATAGATACTTTTCTGATATATAGATTCTTAACAACGAGTAATTACGATGTTAACTGATAAGAAATACTAACTACAAATTGTTAACAGAAAGTAAAACATAGTAACATGGTTAAAAGGTAAAAGTAAAAGAGAAAGTTTCAGTTCTTCATACTTTCTATCCAACATGAGATGACTCTCTTCTCAGTCACCCAAAACAAAGCAAGATTGAGAACACAACAAAGAGAAGAGATCCCAACAAACGATCGGATCCAGAATCTCCCGGAGGAGGAGTGTGATAGTAAAACGGAAAATAAGGCACGATGGGATTTGGTGGAGGCGGCGTTGGATAGTTGCCGTAAGAAGCAGGAGGATAATAGTAACTTTGTCCACCGTCTCCATAGCTGCCGTAAGGAGGAGGGTATTTACCACCACCGGAGCTTGAAGGAGGAGGAGGAGGAGAATAGTAATAAGAGCCGCCGCCGCTGCTGCTGCCACCGGAGCTTGGAGGAGTAGGGGGCGGAGGAGAAGACGGGACAGGGTTACATGGATTGTCGCAAGAGGAACACATTGTGCAAGAAACAGTTTGGTCTTTTGACGTCACGCAGAGAGACAGTGACAGTAGTAATAGTATAAGAAGAGCTGACAAGTTTGAGAATCTGATTGCTTCCATTGTCAGAAGTTTTGCTGTCTACAAATGATAGATTGAGAGGATTAAAGAGCAAGTGATAAGAGAGAGAGGAAGAAGCAAATTCAGAGGCTCAGAGCAGAAGTGTACTTCTTTTTATCAAGGAAATTCATATTTTAAATTATTTTTTATTTTCAGAAAATTTTATTTTATATATTCCAAAGATATGTGTATTTTATATATGTCATTTTCTTTTAACCTCTACCATTTGTAGGCATATGACTATATTCGAATATTTAGTCTTAGAAGGTATATATTACTAGTTTTTATTAGACTCTATTAATATTTTTACAACAACTTCATTGTTAAGATATCTCAAACAAAAGTAAATATATTTTACTAAAATATAATTACTTAATTAAATTTTAATCTAAAAAGAATACAAACCACTTAATAATAAACACATGTCTAGAAGAGATTTGAATTATTTAAATATTTAAAATGAAATCTCTCATTTTTCTATATTTTTATTTTATTCATTGTGAAATTGGTGAAATATCAACCAATTGACATCCTGTTATAAGCATTAGGCTAACGCCACCACAAGATCAACAGTGTGAAGAGTAGACAAATTTAATTACATACCTTTAGTACTTCTCTTAATACCTGACTCTATTGTTCTTTTTAAAATTTGATTGCAAGCATTTTATTCATAACTTATCAACGATGACAATGTGAAAGAGTAATGATATTGTATCACTACGAGCACCTATGATCAATAGTATTCCATCATTTGAAGTAAACTCCACCACCTTGTAGCTGGTCGAGTTAAGGAATTAAGTGAAAGGTAGTTGCGATAGCCAACCAATAGAGCCAATGGAAGTCGCACCCTACATTGATGTAAAAGTTTTTTTTTTCAGTTTACATATAAAGTTACTTTCATGCAAAAGGAACGGTGTCATCATCATGTACAAAGTACCAGTAGGATTACATTGCATTTAAGAAAAAGGTCTTCCATGTTTTGCTAAAGTGATGTTTTGCTAAAGTGACAGTGACAAAACTGAATTTTGCTTTCGAACGTTTTCCATTTAATTTATCTTAGGTAATGTGAATGTAGTGGAATGGAGTGAAGTAATTTGAACTTTGAAAAAGAAAGATAGAGAGAATCAAACAAAGCAACAAAGGCAAAGGGAGACAAAGATCTATATGTGTTGGCTGTCAAAATGTTTATCGGATTCTTCCTTGTTGTTGATAAAAAAATTCACCACTTTATTCCTTCCTTCACATGTAGCTTCTTTTTTTCTTACAAATTGGAGATATGACTCATATCGCCATCGAATTTTAATCATAATAAACGAATATCACGTACATGAATCCGCAGATGATCTGTTACAATAATGCAATGTTAAACTTTTTTTATTTTTTGGACAAACAAACATTGCATTGCTCTTTAGGAGTTTAACCTCTTTAGGAGTTCATGAATAGAGTTCATTAAAGACTTAGTTAAAACTGATTTTGCCACTGAATCAGTTTCGCCATTAAAATTCCTAGAAATAAAATGGAAAGATATTACATCAAACAACGAAACGATAGATATCAAACATGATATCGAATAGTTCAGGTTGAGACCCTTTCTTTTTTAAAAGCTTGATCAGAGATAGGGATCGGAACGTTTGAGAACACGGCTAGAGACATTGCATGATGGACAGCAATAGCTTCCGCCATTAACGCTGAAGTAACATGGTTGTACGCTTTGGAAACTATAGGGAAGTTCTGATCATTCAGGCCTGTAAAAATTCCCCCTATCCCACAGCCACCCGACACCGAGTTCCATGCAATGTTAAACTTAAGCCTATTATCTTCCTTCAGACCTTCCATCAAACCATTAGGCATAAAGCTGATTAAGAAATAGTAAACGTTTTATAAACTTTAAACTAACCTGACAGAAACATGATTTATCGAGTAAAATAAAAATTAATTAACTAATCATTGTATCAGTTACTAAAGTAATAAATGTGGCAGTGTCTTTTCTCATACAGAACTTATGACCGGGCGCCACACGTGTGAAGAAAGAGCGAAACACCTTTCTTATCTCCGGTCCAATCCAAACCAAACCGAGTGGACGTCTAATATTATACGGGGTTAAAACTATAAATGATACTAAAGTTAGAGGGTATAATATGTAAATATTATCTTTGCCTTTTTTTTTTTGTAAACTCGTGTCTTTGCGAACTTGTAGTTCGGTAATAAGTCTAGCTTCCACTCTCTCTCTCTCTCTCCTTCCATTGTTCTTCCCCTTCTATCTCTCTCTATCCCGTTCTTCTAGGGTTTCGTTGATCACGTTCAAAGTTTTCTCCTTTTTTTTCATCTCAATTCTTCTCTGTAACAAGCAGAGGAAATGGATTCGAATTCATGGATCAACTGCCCTTCCGTTTTCTCATCATCTTCTTCTTCTCGACGGTGTCAATCTCGACCAGGTTCGCGCTTTCTTCTTTAATTTCTTAGGCTTCATCATGAGATTGATCTTTGGTGGGGGCAGATTTGTATATAGGTGGAGGGTACGAGGATCTTGAAGGAGAAGACGATTTGAAGTCGGAGTTTATATGCCCTTTTTGCGCAGAAGTCTTTGACATTGTCGGGCTCTGTTGTCACATTGATGAAGAGCATCCTGTTGAGGTCAAGAACGGGGTAATTAATGATCATCAAACCCTTTCTTTTAAAATGTTACGTCTTTTGAGACAGGAGTTGTCTTGATTCTTAGGTTTGGTCAGGTCTTTAGCTTTAATTTTGTTCAGATTGTTACAAACTTTGGTTTCTTATTTAGAAAGTTTGAAGCTTCGCTTGAAATTGAAAATGTTGGTTTTATGTTGAAATGCTCTGTTTACCTACTTTCCTCTTTTAGAAAGTTCGAAGCTTGCTTCAAAAAGAGAATGTTGGTTTTATGTTCTACTCTGTGTGGTGAAGAAATGCTCTGCATACGTATTGTTTCTTCTTATCAGATGAACCCATTTAGCATCTTTATGAAAGCAGGATTTTATCTGATTCTTAGATTTGGTTAGGTCTTGGCTTGAGCTTTGATCAGATTGTTATAAAACTTGGTTTCCTCTTTTAGAAAGTTCGAAGCTTTGCTTGAGATTGAAAATGTTAGTTTTATGTTCTGTTCTTGGTGATGTTGAAATGCCCTGCCTATATCTTGTTTTTTCTTATCAGATGAACAATTTTAGCAGCCTTATGGAGGCAGGATTTGTCTGATTCTTAGGTTTGGTCAGGTCCTAGCTTCAGCTTTGTTTAGATTGTTACAAACTTTAGTTTCCTTTTTTTGGAAAGTTTGTAGCTTTGCTTGAAAATGAGAACGTTGGTTTTATGTTCTGCTCTTGGGGATGATGAAATGCTCTGCCTACTTCTTGTTTCTTCTTTGTTATCTCTCAGGTATGTCCTGTATGCGCAAAGAGGGTGGGGTTAGATATCGTTGGCCATATCACTACGCAACATGCAAACTTTTTCAAGATATCCTTATCTCAACTTTTCATGTCTTGATCTTTTCTTATTACAAGTATCTGATGCTTCGCTCTGTCTATAGCTTAGTTCTGTGATTGAATATTTGTTATTCCTTGATGTGAGATTCTACGTGCAGCGAAGGAGAAGGTTGAGAAAAGGAGGATACACCTCTGCTTATCTCGCCTTGAAGAAAGAACTCCGAGAAGCAAACTTACAATCACTCCTCGGTGGAACTTCTTCAAGTTTCACTTCTTCAACCAATATAGATTCTGATCCATTACTGTCATCCTTTATGTTTAGTTCACCTTCAAGCAAATCCGCTACTCCTGTAATAGAAGGAACTTCAGCTACAAAAGCCTCGCGTAAGGAATCTCTCAAAAGGTATAAAATCTATTGACTTTCCAAGAAAGTAAACAGTTGACCTTCTTTCTCACTTGGTCTCTCTGGCTTTTGTTTGTGTAGAGACGACATTCAAGAAGCTCCACTCTCAAGCGAAGAAGATCAAGAGAAGGCGAAGAAGAGTGAGTTTGTGCGAGGTTTGTTCTTGTCAACCATGCTTGGAGACGATTACTAGGGTCTTGTTAAGAGTTTGGTCTCAGTGTATGATGGAGAAAGCTTGCAAGTTAAAGCAGTGCAGAGTTAAGTCTATATATTACTGTCACTCTACCTTGAAACCTTTATTGTGCATAAACGGAAACAGAGTATACTCTACTTTATTTTCGTTGAGACGTTCCATAGATTCCTAATAAAAACGATTTAATACGTTTTTGGCCCATAAGGAGAGATCACATGAAATAAAAAACAAAACAAAATTTCTTTGATTACACATTGTATGAAAAAAATGAAGCTGTACAAGACTTTGTCATCTCACAATATGCAAAACAACTTCAAAAACAAAACGGTTTAGACTGTAGCTCTACCGTAAGCATTGTCAACTCTCATAAGCTCAGGACACGGTTCAGGTGTCACGAGCTTAGAAGACCCGTAAACGTATGAGCAACTCCAAGAAACATCAGAAGAAGAACCAGAGTTCATCGACAAAGAAACATTATATAAAGCCACTGCACTAAACGGAGACTCTTTGATCCCAAACAACTCCCCAGCAACTCCAATATTCACTCCAGAAACGTTGCTTACTCTAATGCCATTCACTAAGGGAAGAGCATTCACGTCAAACTTATCATCTGGATGAGAACCAAAGCTACCATTAGCCACAATAGCAGTACCTATCCTCGACATATCGATATTCGAAACATCGATCTCTTTGATGTAACCGCCTCTTCCTTTTGTGGTTCTAAATGCAATGCCGGTTAATGAGTTGTGTATGAAGACGTTATGGACTAGGACATGAGATATTCCACCAGACATTTCACTGCCAAAGGAGATGGACGAGCCAGAAGCTGCTTGAAGGTTAACGTTTCTTATATGAACGTTTTCAGTAGGACGAGAGTAGGAGATTCCATATTCATCCCAACCGCTTTTGAGTGAAATCGCGTCGTATCCCATGTTAATAGTAGAGTTTTGGATGCACACATTGTTAGAAGAATCTGCAGAAAAATAACAACAAAGGAGTTCCACATAAATTTTAGTGGACCAATACTAATATGCTCCCTCTGTTTCATAATAGTAGAGTTTTCGACACACGGATTAAAGAAACAATAAATTTTACATATTTTTCATATAAAAACACAATTACCTATACACCTAACCTTATTTCAGCCAATAGAAAAATAAATTACAGAATAAAATTAATAAATTTTGTTTTAAAAACTGAAAATGACACTTAATTTGTAACAAAATTTTTTCTCTAAAACGACACTTAATATGAAACGAAAGAGTATAAGATTTCAACTAATACCAATCTTTGGTTTATGAATTTTGTTGAAAACAAATATGGTGGCCTAATAAAGGTTTATTAACGATCATAAAATAAAATTTGGTTTGAGATGGCAGATAAGAACCACCATCATCTCGAGCATACGTATTGAGATTACATATCGAAAGTTTAAGAGACTGAAACTATTATGTAAGAAACTCGGACCAATTTTCTTTTTTTGTTTGATCAGCCAGAAGCAGAGACCACTAACCTGGTACAATGCCGATTGTATAAGGAGATCCAGGAGAAGAATGAGCCAATATCTTATGAATATATACATGGCTGCATAAATGATAATGGTTAGAATCAAGAGCATTATCAAACGGTTTAGACTTGAACCAACTGTTACCTAGAGTATACTGCATGGACTGTATAACACGGTGCGTTCAAAAACGTGACATTCGAGATAGTTATATCTTGGGATGAAATAAACTCAACGAGGTGAGGACGGTTGTACTTTAAGGAATGAGAAGTAAACCGATCCCACCAAACCATTCCTTGACCATCTATAGTACCATTATCACCTAAAATTGAGTAACCATAAAGTGAGTATTTAAACAGCATATAGTGAAAATGAGATCAAAAGGACGTATACACAAAGCATTGTTGTTATTACCAGTTATAATAACATCATGTAGCATATGACCGTTTATCAAACTCTTGTATCGCTTCCCAGGCAAATCAATCCCTCGTCCATATGATGGTAATGGTTCAACAACTCCCCAATGAGATGGATCCTTTTGTAGTAACCAACACACCAAAAAAATTAAAAATCATTAGATGTTACAAAGTTTTGGATTATATGTGAATAAAAGGAGAAGAAGTACCTGAGAGGCAACTATAACGGCGCCGTTTTCAAGAAACAGAGTGAGATGGCTGGTGAGGCTGAAACTTCCGGTGAGCCATTCTCCTGGCGGGACGTAAAGCTGGGCCCCACCTTTGTCGGAGAACGACATTGCGTAGAAAACCGCGTTTTGAAACGCGAGAGTGTTGAGCGTTTTGCCATCTCCAACAGCACCAAACTCTGCGATTGAGACGCTGTGCGGTCTTGTACTCAATGTTCTCCGGCTAAGCTCGTCGCATATTTTCCCGGCGCCGTGAGTCTTTGCGTAAACCGGAAGCAAGATGGTTAAGGTCAAGACCAAGATCAATGCCTGCGTCAAAAGCAAGAAACCAAGAAACTGTAATGAACAGAGGAAAACAGAGAGTAGAAAGGGACACATTTAAATAAGTAAGAGAGAACGCACTTACTGACATCTTTATTTGTAATGAAGCTGTCGGATGATAAAAAGCTATAAAGGCAAAGAACTTTACGTGCCAAATGTAACCAAACACAGAGAAAGAGAGAATAGGAAGAAGAAGAAAGTTTCTTCGTCGTTAACAACACAAATACACACCAGAGAAGCTTTTTAATTCACAGAAATTTAATTTTATTATAATAGAAAAAAAAATAAGGTAGGAAGAAGATTGACGCCGAAATGACAGCCTTATATGCGCTTAATAGATTGATTTTTAAAAAAGGAAAATAAGAGAAAAATATAGGAAGAAAATTGACAGTGGGAGAATAAAAACATTATATAAGGATAGACAGAGTAAGAGAAAAACAAAATGTAATCATTGATGTAATAATAATAATAATAATAACTATTAAAACACTATTTATAGCAATTAATATTCGTTTTGGGAATCAAGTAGATTAAGGGATCTGGTAGCGTATTATCGCCGACAAATCTTCTCACCATGGCTGTTTTAAGCTGTGTCTTAGCCAACAGAATTGTATTTTTGTTTTAGACAATGCATGTGTCTCATAATTTTTGTTTTGTTTTCTTGTTTTTCTCTCTATTATTATTATTTGTTTTGTTGAATTCTAGCATTTTAAGATATTATTGTTTATAATATTTTCCAAAATTGATTTTAAATACAGTCAGCATCAAACTTTTCTGACTTTAGCTAGTTTCTCTTATCTCATTTAAGAATTATCACCGTTCATACATTACCGTTAATATTAGTCAAAAGATATGTACGTGAATAAAACCAATTAAATTAATAAAGCCTTTACAATTTATCGTAAACTAGTTAAATAGCTAAAAAAAATACAATCAGGTTGTACAAAAGCTCATAAAATGAAACATTCTGATTCGAAAAACTAACTTTTAAGAAATGGTTTTTGACATTGAAAGAAAGCACTAAATGTGGGAATAAGAAGGAGACGGTGGAAGCATGTGGAGTGACAGGGCGGAGGCAAATGGAACGGGTCCTACCCCCAATCATACGTTAATCAGCCAGCCTGGCACTATGTGTTTTTGGTTATGTTTGTAAACCTGAATTTGTGTTTGTTTGGATCAAGAGTCATTGTTTAAACAATTAATATCATTCCAATTTTCGTTTGTAAAATTTAGTATAAAAAGGATATAATCCCCTAGATTCGTGAACTATGCTTGGTTTATGTAGATGTCAGCATTGTTACCTAGCATAGTTCCTAAAGATTATTAAATTTTCTCGTAGCAGTATAGACTTAAACTAGCTAATGTAAGAAATGGCTCACATGTACTCATGTAACATTCTTCTTCTTGGGGAAATTTTAAACTTAAGGAAATCATTTCTGCAATCATTTAGCCCAACAAAGACATAAACAACACCTAAGCATACATCACATGTAAGTCTATAAGAACCTCACCATTACAAGCCTTAATTTTAAGCTAAATGGGCTTCCACTTAGCCCATAGTGCTACTACTATTTTTATTTTAGCTATACTTAGGGTTAATGTAAACTGGATTTTCCCATGAATTAAGCATTCATCTACAGTCTACACTTTCATTTCTGTCCAGTAATGTAAACAACATCGATTTATTTGGGATATAGGACTTATGGGATCGAACGTCTTTTCACGCTTGGCCATCAGCCCATATACGTTTTTTGTAATCAAAATGTGGAACAGTCTCATGGCTGTAAGAGACTGAACCAAATGAGACTATCAAAAAAGATTACATGTGAATGGATTAATTGTGAGAGACTGCCCCAATAACATTTTTATTACTTAAATATGATTTTTACATGGCTAAAGTTCACAAGTTTCTGTTTGGTCTCGATGATTCAAGGTTCAGTTCTATACGTTCTCAGATAATTGATGAAGAACCACTTCATGATCTAAACATAGTTTACTCCCGGGTGATACGTGCCGAGCAACATATCCTCACCATGCGTACCAATGAGCATAAACAAGATGTTCTTGGGTTTGCTGTGAAGAACGATTCATCACCTTCTACTCCTACTACTTCCGGTCTAACTACAAATCGGAGCCGTGATCCTAACCGTTTCTGCACTCACTGCAATCGTAAGGGACATGAAGCTTCTGAATGTTTTCTCTTACACGGGTATCCTGATTGGTTCAATGAACAGCAAAGGAACACCCAATCTTCTAGTCAATCCCAACGAGGTCGCGGCGGATGCGGAAACAATTCCCGTGGTCGTGGTCGTGTCAATGCCTCTCGATCAGTACCTTCTACATCCTCAGGGAATTCTATTGCTTCTTCAGATCAGATCACAACACTGATCAATCTCCTACAAAACCAGCAGTCTCAACTCTCTTCTGATCGCATGACGGGTAAACCTTTACTCACAGATGTCATCATTGATACAGGGGCGTCTCATCACATGACAGGAGACCTCTCTTTATTATGTGATGTGCGCGATAACGTCTCTTCTACGGTTACTTTTCCAGACGGTCGTAGTTCGAGAGTAACGAAATCGGGGACCTTGTTTCTTAACTCCTCTTGCTCGTTATTGGACGTATTATACGTTCCAGATTTCACCTGCACACTTATATCTGTTTCTAAACTCCTGAAGCAAACGGGTTGCATTGCGATATTTA